TCGTANATCAGGAGGAACGAAAGAGAGAGAGAGAGAGAGGGAAAATTGTCGTCGAGGCAAACGGAATACGACGGAGGATCCTCGTTTTCGTTCGAGAGGCAATTAACGCACGCTATTCTCGTTTCCAGGTTTACATCGTGGGTCACACGCCGCCCGGGGTGGACGATCGGGAAAGCGGCGCGTCCACGTTGAACGAGCGTCACAACGCGAAATACCTGCAGCTGATCCGGCTGTACTCGGACATCATTCGCGGTCAGTTCTTCGGCCACTGGCACACGGACACTTTTCGCGTGGTTTATAACGATAACGGTAGGTGGACGCTGTGTTCTTCCGTGGCGGGCAGCAGAGAGGCGTCGCGGTCGAGGCCGACGGATCGATGCGCCGCGAGCAACGCTGCCCCAACCCTTTACGATTTGCTGCGGTTCACCGAGTGGCTGCTCCACCACTCGCCTCCCTTTTCCTTTTCTTCTTTCTTTCTTTCTTTCTTTTTTCTCTCCGCGCGTTTATACATACATCCGTGATTTTTTTATCGTTTCAACGACGATTGCTCGATTTCCTGCGGCTTGGCGGCAAATAAATAATCTTTTCATCTTTTTTCGAACGAGAATTCGTTCGTACGTATTCGTCGATAGTGTTGTTCTTTTCTCTCTCTCTCTCTCTCGTCAAAGTGCAAAGTGCTTTTGCTCTCGTCGTATTTCGCTTTTGTCGTATCGAAAAACGCGCCTTTGTTAAATCGATTCAACAACGGCGATTCGAGTTTCCTGACGCGTTCGTTAAGTTGGAACTTGCGAAACGAAGAGAGAGAGAAAAGTCTTCGGTTCGACAAGTAAAAATCTATGAAACGGGTAATAATTATATTTCCATACGTAATTTCCGTAACAACGGCGTGCACGCAATATATACAACACCTGTTTGGTGATCCGAAACGAGCAATTTATTTCGACGCGATACGTTTACGTTTCTTCCTTCTTGTAAATTAAGATAAAGCCGAAGAGCGAGAGAGAAAGAAAGGGAAGGGGCCTGGTTAAAAAACTTTTATCGAAAAACTTCGAAATAAGTTTCGAGTCGGACAATCGTTCGTATCCGAGTAATCAAATCTCGAGAACAAGTTTCGACGATCGAGTAAAACGCTCGTAACTCGTCGTATTCGAGAGAGAGAGAGAGAGAGAGAAGCGTAAATGAAGGATAGTTCAATTTTACGACGGTGTACAGGTCCATTCGGTCACGCTCCGCTCATATTTTTCATCGTGTTCCTTCATCGAAATGGCCGAGGCCACGAGCGAATCGATAAATTCTCCGCGCGCGTCGTCCGCTGGCCAGAAATACTTTCCACTACTCCTGTTTTACACTCAGCGCGGTTTACACCGGTTTTACCGCGCTTTCGAACCCCTCCCCACGCGTCTTTCACGCGTCAACATCCGCACCAACACACGCGTGGCAAAGCGCAACGATCAATCTCGCGTTTGTGCCGCCAGGTCTGCCCGTATCCTGGATAATGATGGCGCCCAGTATATCGCCAAGCACGCCTGGAGGGCCCAACAATCCTGGCTTGAGATTGTACAAATTCGAAACGACCACCGGCCAGGTAGGTGGGAGAAAACGTCCATTCGCGACTTTCCATTTGTTCGTTTTCGACCGAAAGATGAGATAAAATACGTATTCATCTTTTTCTCTTCCGTTTCTTCTGTTCGTTTGTTCAGGTGTTGGATTACACTCAGTACTATCTCAATCTGCCGGAAGCGAACTCGGGGACGGCAAACTGGTTGATCGAGTACTCTCTGCTCGAATATTACAATCTTCAGGAAATTACGGCGATCTCTCTTCACGACCTGGCCGACCGATTCACCCAGTTCAACGATTACGCTTTCGTCAGGTACGTAGGGAGGATCGATCGGCAAATATTTTTCTCTCCTCGTCCAAGTCGAGATCCTCTCTCGACCGTGTTTTGCTGTCGTCGGTTGTCTCTCCTCTCCGGTATTATACATATTTCCCGCGTTTCTTCCTTGCTCGCGTTACATATTCGTCATTGCGAACAAAAGCAATTCGAGCAACGAAATTTCAACTCGTTTTATCCGCGATTGTATACGATATATACGAAAACTTCATATCTCTCGAGTCGTTATCCCCTCTACATATATTCGCCCAACACGTGTTCTTGCCAATTGTCCGCGTATTACCGTTACTTCCCACAGATACTACGCGGCCAACACGGTCTCGTTGCCGCGGGAAGTGGAGCAAATATGGGGCTGCGGGGGACCGTTGAACGGGGCCTGCGCCCTCCACCATTACTGCACGGTCACCCGATTGAATCCAGAATCCTACAAGAAGTGTTACTCGTCGTACGCGTTCGCGCTCGCCTCAACCGGCCCATCCACGCCACGGCTCTACCTGTCGCTCTACCACCTCGTGCTACTCGTCTGCGCGCACTTGGCCACCAACCGGTAGATTTCCACGGTTCGAACGAAGGAGAGGAGAAGAGGACTCGACTCGACTCCAACCAATCACCGCGCCTCTTCGCCCCTCTCGTTCCCCCCTCACCACTGCCACCGCCGATCCACGGGGGGAAGGAAGCTTCTCCCTTCGAACGATCTCGTCTCGTCCTTTGCAACGGAGGAGTTCTTTGTCCACGCCGTGTCTTCTCCCCTCTCTCTCTCTCTCTCTCTCTCCTCTCCTTTGCCTTTCTTCTCTTCGTTTCCGCTCGAGAGGAGGAGAGGGAGAGGGAGAGGACGAATTCGAAAAACGAGAGAGGAGGAGGAGGATGATCGACAGGGTATATCTGGGAAAAACGAGTAGAAGGAAAAACGGAAAAAAAAAAAAAAAAAAGTAAAATAAAAAGAAAAACCTCGATGTTGTACTTGCTTCTCTTAAGCGTTTGTGTGCGTTTGTGTTTTGACGCGTAAACGCGGCGCCTATGAATCGGCCGCGGCTCTCGTCGAGACCGTCTTGGAGACGCTCGATCGTTCGTGGACGGGCGTTTCTCCACGAGGATTAGAGTCACGTTCGTCGCCACCGTCATCACCGCCACCACCGCGCCATCACCACCGATTTCGCGATTGTGGATCTTGTCGGAACGATACAGTATTTCTTAATAAACGAGTCATGGATTTGTAAGTAACCTTAGTTATTTTAACGATCCTTGTCTAATTCCATTCCCATTCGTTACGCTCCTCTTTTACTTTAAGCTTCGAGTCGGGAGGAAATCGAAAGGATAACCAGATTTCGTTAATTAATATCGTTACGTTGACGTTCGCCTCTTTGTTATTGTTACAACGTTGCTTTTATCCTTGTTATATCCATTACGGAATATCAGCGGATATAGTGTAAACGTATTTGATGCGATAATAATATCTTTCTAAAAATATATAAAACGAAGGTATAAATCGCGTTAATATCATTCCTTGTAATCTTTTTATTCGTCGCAACACGAGTCGCGACGATTTATTTTATATCCCGCTTTATCCTCGAACGAGAGGAACGGGATTCTCTCGTTCGTCGACGAGAAATTTCGGAAGCGATTCTCGGTTAATAAGAGAATAAATTTTTCCCGCTCGTTTCAACGGTGGTTGCATTGCCCGCGTGAACAACGGCGCCAACACCTCTGGGAATCGCGACACGCGATCAAAACGGAATAACATCGCCGGACGATGTTATTTAATGAAAGCTACTCGACACGAGCGCGTCGATTAACGAATTATTCGTTTCTCTTATCGATAAATCGTTCGACGAAAGAGAGGGTAAGCTTGTACTTTTACTCTTTTTTCTCTATTACACTAACACTTTCTCACCGAATTCGAATTACTTTCGAAACACCGTTCTTTCGTTTTTAAGACGAGCACTCGAAGAGTTTCCAGCTTAGAGTCGAAATGGTTCGCGCGCCATTGGGATAACGCAGCAAAGATTTAAATTTGGAAGAGGACGATCGGTCAGAGAATGGTCGACGAATCGAAAGATGAGCCACGATGAGAGATATCTATCCGATTTGTGTAATAAAAAGAAGTTATCCTAATAATCCTGTCCCGAGTTGGAAAAATCCTGGAACGATTCGTTCTTCGAAATATATAATATCCGCGACCAGCAGAGATTCACAATTTAGGCGACGACGACGACGAGACCTCGATTAATTCCGCAGTCGGTGTGTATATAGCCGGGCCTGTTAACCAACTTCCTTCCTTGGTAAACGAGCTCGTGGACGAAGCTTGTGCACGTGGTAAACGGGAAGGTAGCAAGTAAGTAAACCGTTTTATCAATTAAACGAAGCGAGACGATGCCTTTCGGTCGGAAAATTTTATTTTCGGCGCAACAAGATTTTCAGAAGGAGGAGGAGGAGGAGGAGGAGGAAGAATTCTGCGAAGAATCGCTCGAAATCGGTCTCGAATGAAGAAGAAGAAGAAGAAGAAACGGTCAAAACAAAATGGACGAAGGAAAAGCAAAAAAAAAAAAATATAAAAGTTCGATCCTCGCAGTTGTCGGTCATTCGTCGCGATCGCGTTTCTCCTTTTTTAAAATCCTCTCTCCTCGCCTCGTCTCTACTTTCAAACAGCGTTTTAAACAGCGTTTTTCTTTTTTTTTTTTTTTGTCTTTAAGGTAAACAATAGGGTACGGTAAACGCGGAATGAAAAGAGAGGAAATGGAGCGAGACAGTAGTTAGTCCAGTTTTGTTCGACGGCTAGGTTCTACGACGGCTTACGTACTTGCCTCCCCCTCCTCACTTTGTCCGATATTACCGTAAACTGGGAAAAGCTTCGATAACGAAAGACGCGATGTACAAACGAATAAAATTACCATCGAACGGAGCCTGCTTCTTTTCCAATCTTTCTTTTCCGTTACGAATTTACCCGGTTGTTTATCCAGTTATTTAATACGCGCGGTTGTTTTCACACTCGACGTTTCTCCAGGATCTCTCTCGAGACATCGTGAGATCGCGACGCGGTTAAAAATAAAATTTTTATTGGCGTAAATTCTTCCGCTCCTTTCGTTTCTCTCGATTTCGTGTTTTAATATATGTGGAGGTTCGTGCGAAATTAACTAAAAATATATAAAGGGAAGGAGCGAGAATACCCTTGTTCCCGCGAATAGAATAGAATTCGTCCGAACGTTGCAGAAAGTGGGTGAATAGTTAATAGTTGGAACGGTATAATAAATAATTCAACGTCGTTTTATATACGTAGGTGTATTGCACGTCGAATGAATGATAAGTTTTATACGTATCATTTTTTATTCATTTTCACCTGTAGAATAATCTTCTAATAAGCTTGATTCTCGTTCTGATTCGACGCCATTTTCAATTATTCATTTCGAAATCTTTGAATTTTTTCTTTTTCCATTAACAACAGAGGATACACGCAAGGGTATATAACATTATTGCGCAGCATAATTGAAAGAAGCAAAACTTTATTCACTTACCGCCACTAGCCTTTGAACGGATAGAGGAAGGAGAGAGAGAGAGAGAGAGAGAGGTACGTTACTTAA